AGCAGAGGAATGCCAGTGCAGTAGGTATAGATGATGCAAACAAGAAATCTGGAAGGAAATGAAGAGGAGAATAGTTAAACAACTACAGTGATTCAAGAACACATTTTTAAATTGACAAATGAGAGTAAGGAAGAAGCACAAGGAGGAGATGAGAGACAGAATGCAAAGGCCAAATGGAAACGATTAATCAACACAGCAGAAATTAATACAAGCAGGGTGCATCTACAGGAGATTCTTTACTGCAGAGTTGACTAATTACCTCCACAGTAAAGTGTCACCGTCTACACATGCACACCTATTAGGCTGGAGTAAACTAACTAACTCTGCCATAGGATAGTACTGTCCAGCACACATACTTACAGCAGAGTTATTTACTTCACTGCAACACACATGTAGACGGTGAGTGGGGTTGGCTGGGGCACAAGGGTGCTACAGTGCGGGTGCTATCTGTTGGTTAGCACCCTTGTGCCCCAGCTAGCTCCTCTGCAGTACATTGAGCTGAGGGGGAGCAGCTCTGGGCTGGCAGACTGATTCCCCTTGCCATATCCCCTGCCAGCCAGGGCTGTACCACCCCAGCTTAGTGTGATGCAGTCCCAGGCACAATAAACTCCAGCATGAACTGCACTGCAGTTTATTGTGTTGTATTAATATTGTGTATAGATGCGTCTGCAACATATAAACCACTACCAAAGAGTGGGTGAGGGCTAAGGTAGTTTAATACACCTTTGTGGCCTAATTCTGGGCTCCACTGAGGGTTGGAGAAGCATCTCTCTTGCACATCTTTGACAGTCCTCAGGCTTATATTAAGGCCTGGCTTACACTTAAAATTTTTTCTGGTTTAGTAATAATAGGTTAAGGAGTGATGTTTTCCCCATATGTTTCTATCCCAATAAAAGCCCAAAAGCATATGCAGTCTCTTTGCAAAGGGCTTTGGTTGGCATAGCACATTTCATTTAGAAACCCTCCTACTGCATCATCACTATGATGGTTTGCTGGCATAACTATAGCTATGAAGTAGACAATAGCCTCCCCAGGCTGCCTCATGGGCCACAGCACTGCCAACAATCTCCAAAGTGTTGTATTGCCTACTCTGACAAACCTCCCTGCCTTCTATGTCAGTGCTCACAAAGCATCATTAGGAAATAGTCTCCTAGTTTTTTTCATTGTCCTTCCCTGGCCAGACATGGAGATTTTCAGGTCTATTTTTGCAGTGTAAGAGGGCCCGAGTGAAACAAGTTTCTCCCACTAACTGAAAGGGTAACTCTTCCCTAAATCATTGATTAGGTGATGCACTGACTTTTCTGTTCAGCATGCCTCAGCTTCTTAGCAACTGTAAGTTATACTGTTAAAGTAATTTGCTTCAGGTTGCATCACAAGTCAATGTCAAAAATAGGAATTGAGCCCATGTCCCCTGATTCCAACTACTTTGCTCTAAACAGCAGATCATACCATTGAATGGCAGGAAAAACTACCTTAGAACCTACCAAAATACTTTTTTTTTTACTTGAGGTACATAGTATCATAGGAAAATAAGGTCTAGAAGGTCATCTAGACCAGCCCCCCTGCTCAAGGCAGAATTGTCCCTAACTAAATCATCCCAGCAAAGTGTTTGTGCAACCTGGAGATTGCACAGTGTCTTTAGGTAGCCTGTTCCAGTGATTGACCAATCTCATAGTCAAAAATTCCTCTTAATCTCCAACCTGCATTTCCTCTTCTGCAGTTTGAGGCCCTTGCTTCTAGTCCTGTCCCCTACAGCCATGGAGAATAGTCTATCTCCATCCACTCTATAATCACCCTTCAGGTATTTTAAGACAATTATGATATCCCCCTCAGTCTTCCCTTCTCCAGAATAAATAGCCCTCATTCTTTCAGCCTCTCCTCATAAGTCTTGCTTTCCAGGCCTCTAATCATTTTTACTGCTTTCAGATTGACTCTTTCCAATCTGTCCACATTCTTCTTGAAGTGTGGGGCCCAAAATTGGACTCAGGATTCCAGGTAAGTTCTCAGCAACACTGAATAGAGTACAAGAGCTAGCTTTTGTTTTATGAATCTGAATAAGAGATATTAATTCAACTATAATGGTTACAAGGCTAATGGCAGTCTTTTGACTATTTGGACTATTGTTTGCCTAGTTTGTTGTATCTTTTTAAACTTTATATATAATCTGGCAAATTAGTGCACATTTCAATAGTTATAGTAATTTTTGCTTTGATGATAAAGTAAATAATACAGTGCAACCCTGCTTGCATATTACTAAAGCATCCATCTTCTCTTTAACTGGAGGAAAAAAAATATTGTGTTATATGTGATGATATGCTACACCATCTGTACTCCCCCCCACCCCCTTTCAAAATCCTTGATCTGCCCATGCTCCTGTCAATATAACCCAGCATGCAGTCATTCCCCAATCTGTGTTTGTGCATACAATTATTACTTCCTCAGTGCAGGACTTCACACTTATCTTTGTTGAATTTCATTTGTTAGATCAAGGAGCATCTCTCCTGTCTGTCCTAGTCATTTTGGATTCTAGCTCTGCCCTGCAGTGTGTCTGCATCTCCACCCAACTTGGTGTCATCTGCACATTTTCTAAGTGTTCGCTTAATCCTGTTTAGCATAATTATAAATCATAAGGGGCCTATTTGGCAACATTCACTGACTTAATGAGACTCTGTTAAGTCTTTGTGATAGCTGTTGAATAAGGGACTGTTGCATAAGGTTTGGCACTATTGGTAGGAATTTATGAATGAGCCATCAGATTAGATTCACATAGAATCAATTTTATTGCCAGGTAAGAAATTCATATTAATATAGTGAATACGTATGCTTACAAATAAACATTCTTAAAAAACAAACAAACATTTTATTGTAGGAAGTATTATTGGTATCATAAACTCTGTAGTTAACAAGTATTAACACGGGTTTACTTACAGAACATACAGTTACTAAAATATTTCCACATAAAATATGCTCAAGTTACACAAAACCTGTGTGGATTAGAGTGCAGCTGCAATGTGTATCTAAAGCATATGCATTAACAGCAACATTCCATAAAGGGTCAAATTAAGTCAGCCAGTTATGACGGCAATAGAGATCAAAGGAATGGAAGTGAGATATACTGGAGTATCTGAATTGTGTGCAAAGTATTTGTCCCATGGGCTTTGTCTACTTCTGATAGACTTAAAATATATGATCATACAATTTAGCAGCACACTTGTGAAGTGATGCCTATATCCTCAGGATGCAAATCAATCTTGCAATTGTTGGATAAAGGATCTCTCCTGTTAACCTCATTTAAACCTCTCTGCTCTCACATCCTTCAGACAATCGAAAGAGAAATATTGCCCAAGTCTGCTGAGTATAGTAAGAAATCACATATCTAATTTATTTTAAAGCACAGTTCTCACACTCATCTCTTTATACTTTCTTGCAACTAATCTGAAGGAGAGTTGATAGCCAGCCTAAAATCAATTGCATTGGGTTGGTTAGTTTATGATTTAGCCAATTACTTCATTTGGCAGGGGAAGGGCAGGGATTTTAGTGCACAATGAAAGTAAAAGGCTGATTGCACTATCTGGTGCTGGCCTGTTGCCACACAGTCTTCTTACAACCCTGTTTCACCTCACTGTTTTTATCTTGCAGGTTCAGGACTGCCAGGATGTTAACTGCACCAAATTATGAAGTGGTTTTGCTCTTATGAGCAAAGGTATCCCAGTCATCAGAGCTACAGTAAGTCTAGACCATGAGTCTGATGTATTTTGTTTTTTTTTAATCTTTCTTTTCAGACCTAGCCCACTTGGATATCTGAGGTTAGTGCAGAAGCCCCTCTACCAAATAACCCCCAAGAAAGAACACCACTAACAAAGTCAAACATAAGAAAGATGATATACCATGTAACATTTAGTTGAACTACAAAGGTCAACTACTGTGGCTAAAAGCAAATACAAAATGAGAGACTATGGGGGATTGTAGGTGGGAAAAATGTTTTACCTTGGAGAGTTGGGGCTAACTAAATATGTATGACCTTGCAACCACTAAACAGAAGTGTAACATGAGTGTTCATTCACAACAAAGGGAGGGCTAGGTAGGGCAGAAACCTTCTAATATCTTCATAAAACAAGAGGAAATAAGCTTAAAGGAACAGGGGTTTTCACTTTGAGAAACAAGACTGTCATTGAACAATAGTAATACAGTAAAGGCACCACCCACACTTATTTATTTTCAGTCTGAAGCAGTTGAAGATAGGCAAAACATTTAGGTGACGAAAATGTCCTGACAGTCTGCAAAGTAAGAGTTGTTACCATCTGCCCAAAAAACAGGAGGACTGAGGGGGAAGGGCTGATTACCCTCTTTTCCTCACAACATTCATGTTGTTATATGATATGTCTCTTCTTATTTTGGAGGTCCCGAGAAACTTTAAACCCAAACCAAAAATAAACAGAAATAAAATCTTCTTGTGTTATTGTCCCACAAAACTCTCTACCAGCCAAAAAGTTCTCATACGCTTTTAATTGTAACAGTCTTCATAGGTTTCATGTGAAAGTGTCTTTTTATCTTTTATTGTATATATTTTTTTTGCTCTTCCTATAGTGATGGTATGAAAGTACAATAATAAACGTTAGGGCTTGTACCAAGGTATTTGCTCTTGGCTTTCACAGGTCTGGTAATTATTAGAATTTATACAAAATTCCTCATCAAAACAATGTATTACCGTGTATTGTTCTCTCTCTTTCTCTCTCTGTCTCAAGGCAGGAACATAGTGTAAATGGTTTAAGCAGACATAAAGTTTCTCTAAATTGTGCTACTTCTCATCATGGATTTCAGTTTCAAGTAAAAAAAAATAGTCACAAGAGTTGATTTTTCCAGTGTGAAATACAAATGGCATTTCTAATTCAACCTTCAGGGTATTGCTGAATGGTATTAACCCACTCTTCAACCTTCAGTTGGCTGCATACCAGGAGTGTCCCCATGGAAGTTCCTTTCCTTCTTGTCTTTTCTTTTCATTTTTTTTTTTTTGCCTCTTTCTGATGTTTTATATTTTTAAGGAATGAAAGAGCAATCTCAAACAGTCACTTCTGTCTTGCTGTTAGTTATGAAGTACGGCTGTGGGGGCAAATATTGCTGACTCCGAGTTGTCAGTGTGTTACTTAACATAGGTTCTCCTGGGCCATGCTTCCCCTTGTTTGCATATGCTTGCCGTCGGAAGGACTGGTCACTGGGGTCCCAGGTTTTGTAGTTGTATGCCATGGGGTGTGTGTGAATTTTTGTAATTTTGGATTTCTGCCCATTGTGTTTGGTTGTGCCATTGTCAGGTGCATACGTTCTGTCTTCCTCCATACGCACTGGATGGAGTGGCAAGCTCCCTTTGGCAGCCAATTCTGCAAGGTGTCGACGTTTGGAATAGAAGTCATCGTTGACCTTATCAGCTGTTTTGTTGTAAAGGGGTGGGGGGAAGAGGGGAATAAAGACAAAGTAAAATAAGAACAAGAAAATGTTAAAAAGAGATGCACTTTATAGACTGTCATATATAAATACATCTAGTTCTGCAGAAAAAGACCCAAACACATTGATTAAGACTTTATATCTCACTCCCACAAGCACAGGTAATTCCCAGTTTCCTTCGCTGTCTTCAGTGCTTACGAAGTATTTTTCCTGTTTCCTTTCTGCGACAGCACTGACAAGCAAGTCATTCTTCTTTCAGTATTATTTATTTTCTGGATTACAGCAATGCCTAAAGGACACTAGCCAGTATACAAACCAAGTCTGAAACAGTCCTTGCTCACTAAGACCTTACAATGTAGACAGGCAAAATAGATGAAGGATGAGAAAGGAAACAGAAGCATGACATCAAACTTGTCTAAAGTGACATAGCAGGTACTGGCAGAGCTGGGAACAGAGCTCATATGTAGGAGGTACAGAAGTTCCCTTTCATACAGTATGGCTGGTCTAGGTTGTCTCTTGTATCAGGATGCATCCTTTTTCATAAAAGATGCTAAATGAATGTATTGTCAAACTACTCCACTGTGTAAGTGGCCATGGTTATGTGCCCATGTTAATTTTGTTGCTCTATAGTCATGCTAGTAGCACTACGGAAAGGGAGTGTCCATACATTCACAGTATTTGTAGTGCTACAAAGATGGCAGATTCTCCACAAAAAATTTCGTGTGAGAAAAAGGAGCATTTTTTGTAGCATTACCCTTGTAGCACTGCATATAAGATGAGAACAGTTGTATGTCTGTATGTACTCCCAGGCTCCCAGAGTGCTCTGCTCTCCTACCCCCCTTTCAAGGGAGAAGGAGGAAGAGTGGTTGGCTCTCTTGACAGCCCACAGGGAGCAGAGTTCCAACTTATTCTGGAACCAAGACTACTTAATCACGTGTTGCCATTGCTGGTTTCAGGCGGCCTGATCATCAGCTGTTCAGTGGTAACAACTGATCAAGAGAGCCTGGCACTGATCCCGTCATGCTCACTTGCCGATTCCTCTGAGGGTGGGGGAGTAAAGGAGCAGTCCCATAGTGTCTCCTCATGGAAGAATACATCTTTGCAGGGATTTTTGACGCAGGGGACTCTGAATGTGTGTACACCCCCACAACATACTTGTTTTATAGCTCTACAAATGAACATGTGCATGTAGCCTCATTGTTTATTGTTAAACTCTCTCAGCTCCCATTGAAGTAGTTTATCAAACCCTCTAAGTAGTTGAGCATTCACTAGTGCTTTATGAAGCTGAAAACACTGTGGGTCATTGAAGGTTAATATTCACATGATGATGTTATGGACAATGGAAGTCTTGAAATGTCTCGTCCTAATGTTCATTCCCTTAGTGTAGTGCTTCTGAAACATATCATACTGCCTCCTGCCACTACATACTGCACTGAAGTGATCAAACTAGGATCTTGCCCTCAGCGGTCTCCTGAACAAGTGTCTTTCAAGATGTTACATGCATTTATGTAAGTTTTGTTTATTTTCTCATTGATGGAGCATGCGTTGTTTAAAAAGTAGCAATCTCAATCTGCATGAAAACACCTGCCATTC